AAACTCCATTTTAAAAAAAAAAAAAAAAAAAAGCAAGCAATCTGCAGCTTTATCACACATACGATGATAACGTTACCGTTTCAGTTTTTCAATTTGGAAAAATAGCAGCAGGTCTCTCTGAACGGCAGGAAAATTAGGTGTCGTCTTTTGCAAAATAACTCCATAAAAGTTGATTTGGGTTGAAAGCCTTTAGAAAAAACCACTTAACTATGCTAATCCTCACAAGTCACGGTTTGTTCTGTCCCTCATCACTCCCCACTCCTGCTGTCTTCTCCAGTGAGAACAGTGAAGGACAAAGGGTTTGTTGGCTGATTCTTATTTTATTTTTGAAATAAATTTTTTTTCTTTGAGTGCTAATGAGAAATGGAAAAATCAAATTATCTTTCTGTACCTTTTAAAGGAAAAATTTATTTAACCTTATATCAGTTTGAGTTACTTACACCCTAGCATAGAGTGACATATTTAGTTAAATGTATAAAAACGCAAGAACATAATTCTGTCCTATCTTCTCATTTTAATTTTATCGTGTTCCATTTTCTGCCGAGGAAAATAAACTGGATTAGAGGATGTGATGTGTGTCTTTTATTGTTGGATCACTATATGTTGGTAATTATTTTTCTCCACATAAATCACCACTGACATCGGAATCCAAATTAAGAATCAATAATTCAGTTTTAACTTGGTAATAAATTACAAACACTTACCTTTTTTTTTTTTTGATTTTTAAAAAATATTTTTTAAAAAATCTATATCTCACACTACCAGAATGGGAACCACAAAGAGGAAAGCCCCAACCACAAAATACCTGTAGAGGATCAGGCAAGTCTTGAGTAGTCAGCTGAATGGGAAGTGCAAGATCCAGGTAATCAACGCCTACACTCTGCTGGGATAATAAGCTGGCCAAAGGAGGAGATGGAAGCCACTGACATCAAGACGAGGAAGCTCCTGACCATGTGTGGAGGGTTTCACCCTGAGACTGTACTCCAAGCAAAATGGAGTGTCAGAACCACTGTCTAGGACGGGTGGGCAACTCCTAGCCTTGAGTCCCGGTGTCCTACAGGTTTTAGATGTGTCCTTGATCCAACATAGCTGATTCAAATGGCTAAATTACCTCCTCAAAATGTCCTACAGTTCTCCAGAGGCCTGGTAACAAACATATGATTCAGGTGTGTTGACCCAGGGGGATATCTAAAACCTGCAGGACACTGGCCCTCGAGGCCTGGAGTTGCCCATCCCTGGTCTAGGATGAGGCAGAAAACATCCATGAGTACATCAGGAAGATGGCCACAACCGACTGAATACCTCAGGCAGCAGAAACCCGAGAAGGATGAAGACCAAGGAGAAGAACCATCATGGAAGGACAGGCCCCTGCATGGTCTGTTCCACCAGCAGACAGAGGAAGTGGCTGACATCCAGAAATCCTACCAAGCACTGAGCACAAGATCCATAGAGGCTGGGGTCTATCACACCAGGCAAGACCCCAGGTGCAGGCTGTGTAAAGATGCCCCAGAGACAATCCAGCACATAACAGCAGGGTGCAAGATGCTAGCAGGCAAGGCATACATGGAACGCCATAACCAAGTGGCCGGCATAGTGTACAGGAACATCTGTGCCGAGTATAACCTGGAAGTCCTGAGGTCAAAATGGGAGATGCCCCCAAGGGTGATGGAGAATGACTGAGCTAAGATCCTGTGGGACTTCCAGATACAGACGGACAAAATGGTGGTGGCTAACCAACCAGACATAGTGGTGGTAGACAAACCTGAGAAGACGGCCGTAGTGATCGATGTAGCCCTTCCGAATGACAGCAACATCAGGAAGAAGGAACACGAGAAGCTCGAGAAATACCAAGGGCTCAGAGAAGAGCTTGAGTAGATGTGGAGGGTGAAGGTGACGGTGGTCCCAGTGGTAATCGGAGCACTAGGTGCAGTGACTCCCAAGCTAGGCGAGTGGCTCCAGCAGATCCTGGGAACAACAGTTGAGATCTCTGTCCAGAAGAGCGCAGTCCTAGGAACAGCTAAGATACTGCGCAGGACCCTCAAGCTCCCAGGCCTCTGGTAGAGGACCCGAGCTTGAAGGATAGACCGCCCACAGGGGCGAGTGGGGAATTTTTTTTATATATATATGTATACACATACACATATATATATACATGCGTATATACATATGTATATACGCGTGTGTATATACGTATACGCATGTGTATATATGTGTGTATATACATATACGTGTGTGTATACATATATATATACGTATACGTGTATATATAAAATTATTTGTATGCTTCTGTGAATTTAATCTTTTTGCGTCGAGATAATTGAAGATTTAGGATAAAGGAAGTTTGCGTCCTGTGTTACTGATGGGGTGACAGGATGATTAGAACCACAGAGGGGAGGACACAGTTTTGGTTTAATTGTAAAATGATAAATTAGCCATAAAAACACAACTTTATTTGGGCTGTTTTTGTGGAAATCATTTAACAAATGGCATTGATGAAATTTGCTTTTAAAGCTGTAATCAGAGTCACTTTTAAGTCTATCAAAGTTACAATGCAAAAAAAAGGTCATGGTTTAACCAAAGTTCATTATTGACGCTGACAGTGATTTATTTTAATATTGTATATTGCAGTCCTTCTAGGTGAGAACCATGTTGGATTGCATTAATATAGAGCCGGCAGATTGGGAAGAACATGAAAACTGAAACAGGAGAGAGTGTTTCTGCAGATTTATCCAGAGAATGAGACTCTCAGCACTTTGCTTGTAATAAGGTTCATTCATTTATGTAGAACTTGTAGCATCTTACTGACAAATGAAACCATTTCAACCAGCTGAACTGGTTGAAATAGAGTTAATATAAATACCTGTCAGTGTTGGGGATTTATGTAGTGCTTTGTTGTTTGTTTATGAGCCGATACCTCGGTTTCCTCATGTCTCCAAAATTGCTTTGTCTTCACCTTAGAAAATTTGGATAAATTGAATGCAGTGCACAGATGTTCATACATTCAAGTTGGTCAGCGCTGATCAAGTGCTGGATTTTGGTTTCATTGAAAACTGACTTTTGCAACACAGAGGAACTACACCACCGTTTTGAAAATAGAAACTGAGGTCAAAGACCATATGAATTCATCCTCAACCTGGATTCACTCACAGACATACACAGATCGTTACCCAGCGCAGACACTAGATGGTGCACCAAGACAGTAAAAATCTTTTTCTCCCTCAGGTTCATATCTCATAAGAAGGAACAGTTTTATTTTTGTGCCACATGTTTTATTAATAAATATAGGATGGATCTAAGTGCTCAGTAGTGTTCCTGATAATTTATTGACCTGATATGTGGAATAACTGACCATTTTATTCTTGTCAACTTGTCTGAAAACAGGAAAAATACAATCTTGCTTCCTCCCTCCTCATGTTCTTCCAGTCTCATCACTCCTATTTCAGCTTTTTCCACTTGTTCTCATTTTCTTTTACTGTTCTTGTTCTTTGCTTCCTCCTTTGTATTTTCCCACGTTTTCTCCCACTCTGTTGCACTTTCTCCTCTCCTCCACTATCCCTCTGTCCTCTTTCGTTCCTCTCATACATTTTGTAGCTTTTATTTTATTACCAATTCTGCATACTGCACACTCACTGCTGAAGTGGGACACAGCATGGTTAAATATAGCAGTAATGCAATAATAAAATATGTTTACTACACTATTTTTATGGATAGAAAACTACTCAGGACAAGGAGATGTGATAACCCAGTAGGCCTGGATTATATATATATTAAAAAATCTATCTTAATGACTAACAGAGCCCTTGCATGGATATTTATTGAACATTTATCATTTATATTATTCAGTGATTTATTTAAAATGTACTTATTGTAAATTCCTGTGTTAAAAAAGTTAAAAACTATATTGACTTATATTCAAAATCTGTATGTAATCATTTGTATCATCTATGACATTTAAGAAATATTAGCTGAAGTTGAACTAGGGCC